TTTTTTTTTTTTTAGGTAGGCGGGGGGTGATCTTACCTATCGCTCGATACCACAATATCATCGAAATTCGATTTCCTGCTCAAAAACAAGCTCTTAGCACAGGAGGTGGCTTATGGCCTTTAATACCCGCCATTACTCTATACACGGGCGAAACTCAAGACATTCAAAGCAACAGAACGCCCGACAAACGTGACGTAGTGAAGTAATTCAGCACCAACACGCGGGTTATGTGTGCAGGAAAAACAACCACTGGGACACTCCTACCATGCAAAGTTGTCGTGGCTTCTTACCAGCGTCGCGAGGAGGGCGGTAATGGACGACCAGGTCGATGTCTGACATATCGATACCGCGGGCGTCCACGTCGGAAACCACCAGAACCTTAACTCCCTTGGTAAGGAAACCCTTGATGGTCTGTTCGCGGTCATGTCCGGAGAGGACCTTGCCATAGAAGGCAAATGAAGGGTGGCTGCCATGTCACCTAGCGTACGATTAGGTGTCCAAAGTAAACCGGGTAGATGAACCAGGGGCAGTCAGAGGGCCCCGGAGATATTGTTTGCAGGACGTGCCGACAACAAAGCGACACTTTGCCATGTTCCCATGACAGCAGACAACGCCTGTCATCGGTGAAACAGTCCTCCCCGTGCATCACTCTACATGTATGTACCCCACACCTGTGCGTGACGACTTAAAATAAAGTAGTGTGTTCATTGAGTCTGGGAACCACACCAAATCGCAGAAAAGTGCTCCTTGAACCCACTCTTTCGGCCCCATCTTGCGAGGGGTTGAAGGTGTGTTTGTGAAGAAATCGGAAGGAAACAAACCGTTCATTGCCTGTGAACTATACTTGAGACGTGAGAGTCTTGAAAGTTCTCCCGTCGGCAAGCTCGTCGCACTCTGCCTTGGAACCGGTGATCACAACGGCGTGCGAGCCCTTCGAGTAGTAGGTGACGATGTTCTCGAGCACCCTCGAGCGTTGCCGAGCGGGCACCTCGATCAAGAGGTTCTGCACGATGTTGGCGGACGTGGCCTCCTGTTTCACCTGCAATGAAACGACGTGTGATGAAAAGATCGGATGCGCGAATGGAATAATGGGTTACCGCAGGACAAATGACACTGCTGATTTCGCCCAGCAGCAGTCTCTGCGTCAGGTTGCACTACTACAGGGCAATGATGGCAGCCGGCATTATGCTGAGCGAACGGACCTTTCACAAGGTGCGTGTTTGCCATGCCGTAAAACGTATAACCGTCCTACCTCTCCATCTCGAAATTATGTAAGCTGTGCTCATTTGATCGTCTCACCCTGTCGTCCTCGGTACTGGTGCCCTCCTCATTCTCCTCCTTCTCCTCCATCTCCTCTTCGTCCCTCTCTTCGTCCTCCTGCTCCTTCTCTTTCTCCTCCTTCTCCTCCTCCTCTTCATCCCTCTCTTCTCTCTTTTCGTCCTCGTGCTGCTTCGCCTTCTCCTCCGTCTCCTCTTCTTCTTTGTGTTGCATCTTCTCGTTCACCTCCTCGTCCTCCTTCTCCTGTTCCTTCTCTTCCTCCTCCTCCTCCACCTGATCCTTTCCGTCCTCCTCCGCTTCCTCCTCGCCGTCATTGTCTACACCGCCGTCGCCACCTGTATCCTCCTTAAGCCGGCTACTCCTCCTCGTGGCGAGCTGAGAACACGGCGCTCTTCCCTTGCCTGTGACCGCACGCTTGTCAGCGGTACGGTACCCCAACGACGTCACCACAAACGTAGTATTCCAAGAAGCGTAGCAACATTGATCACGTATTTTGTCCAACACGTCCGAGCCCCTACTCGACACTGGCGTAACTAATGTGATAATTCCAAAGCCATGCCCGGGGCACCGGAAAACAATTGTCAACATACTCCCATAATTCCCGCAAGTTCTTTTTCTCGGACACTTTCACACTCGACCCTTGCGTTGAGTTCTGTGGTACTATCGAAACACTAGACATCGTATTGTTGTGTTCTTCATGGGTTCTGTGACTCTTCCGAAACCCCACCCGGAACTCATGAACCACGCAAGTTGCACCCTCGGAGATCTATCTCGTTATTTCCCCTCGCTCTCACTCTCGTCAAAATCCCCCTCCTCACTGCTGCTGCTGCCGCTGCTGGGGTTGGGGAGGAGCAGGCCGATCTCGTCTGTGCCTCCGCGGCGCCTCGGTTTAGACTTTGACACAGATCTCGTGGTGCTCTTTCCGTCGACTTGGCTTGGTGAACAGACCTTCACGGGGAGATAGGGGGACAGGTTTTGGGGCGTTTGTCAGCTTGTGTCTTGCCGTGTACCGTGTCCGGTAAGCTCGGGTCGGAGGGCAAGAGCGGTGACAATGGTGCCCAAGCGAGTGACCACTTGCACACATGCTGTGCCCGTCTTTTACTTGTAGTTGATTTGTGCTGGCATGGAATCACGACAATTCGCTCCCCTCTGACCTTGATTGACTATTATTAGGACGGAAGGGAAGAATAGCACTGGATAGAGATAGATATGAGAAAGCCATTTCCGTGCGAGTGAGAAGCTAAGAAGCGAGGGGAACTTGGCGGAACGCAGCTGTGTCGCAGGCGCACACAGGATTTTGATCCATTAGATTAGGTCTGCGAACGCATTTCGGCGAAATTTTCTAGGTTCGTCATCGTGAATCAAGGGTAGAGCTTCCAATCTGTGCTTTTGTTCGGCGAACAGACCGCTCTTGTCAAACTTGTCAGAAGCAGAGAACCATGGGTAGTACCGAGAAAATCCTTCTCTTGTGGAGAATCATATCTTCAAAGGTACAAGTGCCCTCTGAGCTGTTCATTGTCCGTCACAAAAGATTGACTGCTGTCTCGAGATATTGTACGTCATTTTTTCTTCTTTGTTCGTTGGGGTTCGCTGGGCTGTTCGAGTCAAGCGCGTGTCAGCTGTGTGCTGTGTGAGCTGTCGAGCCTTGGGAAACGTCACACGGCAGATGGCAGTCAGCTGTCGGTCGGTTGGTGCTGCTTTACTTCCATCTCCTATCACCCGTTGATGACACTGGCACTAGCTCCATTTGAGCCCATTCCTCCCGAGGCATCACCTGCAGTACACTCATGAACTACAGCCGTTCTGAAGTGCAAGTTGTTCCGGCGAAGAGATTTCAGCCCACGGCCTCCCTGGCACGGCACTCGTAGGACGTCTGCAGGCCGGTACGAGACATCCATCATAGTTGATTACGTCAACGGTCAACAGCAGTGTACTCGCTCGAATATAAATACAATGTAGCGCATAGCATCGTGAATAAGAGACGATAGGGATGGGTCGATGCGTAATCTCCTCACGCCATGAAGTACGAATATGTAACATGTAAGGTGCTGCCAGCTGCTCTGGAAGCTGCTGTTGCTGTGTAACTGTCGTCCGCCTCCTCCCTCTCTCTACGCTGTACCGGGGAGCTGTGTGTATGCACATCTTACTCAACATGCCTTCTGTAGGACATATAGTCTCACCGTATCCTCCTCGCAACTGATGACCTCCAGCCGAGATCTCCGACACAGCTGAATCCTCGGAGCCGAACACAGCTTCGGCCGTCCTCTCGTCGCCATGGCCATGTCTGGCTGCTCACCTCCTAAGCGTGGGATGGTGGTGTCCAGCAGCTATCGCCAGCCTCAGGGACAGGCCAGTCCTTCAGCAATTGCTGAGCCCCCTGTTAGCACTATACAGCGATGATGCCACGGAGCCTCACCGCCTAAGGGCAAGCACAACACACACGACACAAGTTCACACGCAAGGTGTAGTAGGTGTGCCACAAGCCGACGCTATGGCCTCTAGGATGCTTGCCCGCTCAGGAGTGGCTGCTGGAAGGAGAGTGGCAGCGACATCTGCGTCGGCTGGGGCGCGACGGAGCGCATCGAACTTGAAACCAGTAGACCAGGTGAGGAAGTGGGTTCCCAAGCTTGCTTACACCGGTGCAAGGCGGATGATGCGAGGGCGTTTGCAGAGCCGTTGTGCATGATCCGTAGGGAACGAAGGTGGCTTGTGCGTTTGCGATGCTACAATACCTGTGTCTTCCAGGACAAGGTGTTTTAGATCATGAGGGTGCACAATTAAAGTATCATCCTCTTGCGTCTCGATCACAGCAAGCAGTGTCTGTATCGATGTGCTGCAGCAGCAGGAGTCAGGCGTGGTGTGTTGTGATGCTTTCGGGCCTGTTGGAGGTTACCAGTGTACAGCAGTAGTGCAGTGTTGTTGTTGCCGCTTTCTCATACATGTGGTGGTGCATGTCATGCGTCGAAGAGGCGTTAAGTACTGCCTGGCGGCAATGGGCTGCATCCGGATCGAGCAACGAGCGGGGCCGATCGCGCCACCGACTGAGGCTGCGGGAGCGAGTCACGCCGCCCGCCTGCTCCCTACAAGTCACCACCCTAACATACCTGCTGTACAGCAGTGCCCTAGCACTACTGCTGGGTGGGGGGAACACCCTGCGAGCGCCGTAGGTGAAACAGGGCGGTCCCCCCTCCACGGAATTGTTGTGTACCGCTGGTAGCAGCTACGGCTAAATAGTGGTACAAAAAGGCGGTAGACAAGAAGACTTTCTCTGTAGGCTTTGCTCTACGGCCGGCGGCGCGGTAGCTCCCGTGCTTCTGTTGTTTAGTGCATACCCTTCCTACAGCTGCGTTTGACATGTGAACTGCAATCCCACGAGGCTCGCCAAGCTAAATATAGCTGCAGCATTGTGACCGTTACCGCACGCTGCCGAACATGGCCATGTCCAATGTCCAACGTGCTTTCACGGCATGGTACAGCAGTAGCAGCTGCGCGTGTTCCCTGCTGCCACCTGCTGTTTCGTCCAGTGGGTACTGTACCCCCGCATGAAAGGGAGGATCTTGTGGTTGTGTTTCGTCTGTCTACTGACTTGCAGCATCCACCAATATTCTTGTGCCTTTCCTGCAAAAGCCGAAAAGCAATTCCATCATTCCATCCAACATGATCTGTTCATTGACTCCTGCTGTACACTGCTGTACAGCTGCTGTGTGCAACAATGTCTCTCGTTCCCATGGCAGATGTGTCTTGTGTTCCATCATACACCACAGACAACGGCAGATCCCCCTCGTGTGGTGATGAAGTGATTCCGACCACCACCCCCGTCCGTCGCGACTCTTTGTGTCCTTGTTCGTCTTGTCGTTGGGACCGCCTCTTTTTGCGAGAAACTAAGCTTTATGAGGAACTAGAACAGGAGGGGTGTACGCAGACCGGATCCCGCATCCAAACCCCGACAACTTCCCCGGTTGCTTCTTTATCCAACACGTTCACTGTACAATATAGAAACATCCTGCGAAGGCTTCTGTACTGCGTTGTTCACCCTGCACTTGTGAACTTTTCCCGCGTGTTTTTACTCGGTCTGGACTACATGTATATGCACATTACTTGACGGCTTTGAGCAGAACAAGGCCTACTTCCTGAATCTGGGACCCCACTACAAGAAGGAGGGATGGGAGGGGATCATGGCGGCGACTTGGGTGGCCAGCGCGGTGATTCTTATTGCTGGAGTGGGCTACGGCCCAGAGACGGGCATTAAGGTGAACAGCAGCGGTGGTCTTGACGTTTGTCTGCGGTACGGTACGGTATGGGTCCTTCGGTGTACAGTGGTTGTTCCGTCCCAGTTTGTACTGCCGGTATGGTATACAGTACGGTAGGTGCCAGCCCCTTCACCCGGCAGTATAGCGGGCAACCCGCATTATTCAGAGGATGGTATGAAGCAACTTTACCATTCCATCTGTACGACCGGCATTCTACCGGGCAACCGGCATTATAGCGGGACCACTTCTGTAGTCGCGTCTTTCGCACCTAGTAGTAGTAGTAGTAGTAGTAGTAGTAGTAGTAGTAGCGGCCGGTTTTCTTTTCTCTGTGTCTCTGTGCTGTGCCTCTGGTATTAGCAGCAACAGACTGAAAGACTCCTGTGTGCCATTGCTCTCCAGCCCTGTGCTATTGACGGGCGCACTTTTCCACTGGAGTGAGTGGCTCTACAATGTCTAGTGTCCGGAATACTCACCCATCAGACCCTGCTCTCTAAGGGGACTGAAATGAGACAAGAGCAAGTCATGAATCCTTGATGGGCGACTGGTAGAACATACATACAAGGGGCGTGTACGCCACTGGTTTTTCCGCTAGCGCTGCATCTTGTATGGTAGTATTTGGTACTTCCATCTGAATCAGGCGTTTTCCCGTTAGGCGGTCGGTAAAAACAGCAGCATTGGCAATTGTGGCTGAGGCGACCGTATTTCATGCTGTTCACTACCGTAGGAACATCAAACAGGTTACGACACTTGCTGTACACCGCAACCCTCCTCCGCCCTGCTCTTTTGTGATCTTGTTGGACCGCTCACGAGTTGACAAGCGAGTCGCAACCGATGATATTCAACCAAGTAATACTTTTTGGGGAGGCATGGCACACAGCAACAAGCATGGCGCCCAATCAACCAACAACCAACGTGCACCACTTTGTAGGAAGCATGACATACAAACACCACTGACGAATGACGACAAGACTGATTCGCATGCTGCCGTAACAGGAGTGGGCTAGAGACGAGGCACTTGCTAGGAATGTGCGTGAGGAGCAGGGGCTGCCGGTAGAGTACGGAAAGATCTACTCCCAACAGCCCAGGTAAGGGTGTCACCGATCTGCAGTCTTCAAGTGTTCAAAAGAACACCGGATGTCGTGGCAGTTCCTTCTTTTGCTGTTGCTACTTCTCTAGAGTTGAAGAATGCACTTCTTCCAGGCTTGGATATCCCCGGGTCTGACGTGTGGCCATTGTCTTTCGAAATGCCATGGTGTTGCCATGTGAGGGTGTTCAGCGTGTTGTTTTCTTGTTACTGCGGTGGTAGCCAATGCTGTATGCTGTATGCTGTGATGCTGTCGTTGATATCATGGACGATGATGATAGTGTGGCCTGAGCATTGACCGCACCGTTCAGAATAAGCCGATAACTTCGATACGTGTAGATACTTGCCGGAGTAGCCGCGCGTCGTGCTGTTTTTCGAAACTTTGGGTCGATGCTCAGAGCTCGATTGCTTTCATACGTACCAGGAGGGCTCTTAATGAGATTGTTCTGCGAATGCCGCCCCTTTCGGCATCGCGACGTCTTCTCCTTCTCCTGTGGAGCAGGCGAGCTTTGAACACAACAGGGGGGTCAGATATACAGCAGTGCCACCACGATAAACCTGCTGCTATGCATAAATACCCTGCCTTCACCCACAAACACGGTCTCTCGCCATTTGATTTACGAGCTCACGAGAGGATGCTTGGGAATCAGGGTCGTTCAGCGCTTGTGCTGTGTCTGTTGCGACGCACGCACGGAACCTACAAGAGGGAGGCATGTGTGAACCTAGAACTTTTCTTGTTATATCTACTGCATCTGCGTGTGTATATTTGTTGCATCCGCCCCGGTTGCCTTGACGATCGACAGGTACACGTTTACAGCAGCCGAACTCGATGATGAGGATGAGGACGATGACGATGATGACGATGACGAAGATGACGAGTAATCGTTTCGTTCGGTCTTCCAAGTGGTGGGCAGTAGATCAATTTGCCGATTTCATTTGTGATGAGGATTGGTCGGTCCACTCTCTGGTTGACTACAGTATCCACTGCTGTGGTCAAAAATGTTCGTCTAAGGATGTAGTCGGTTAGTGTGCATCGATGCAGTTGTTGGTTTTTCATGCGGCCGTGAGTGTCATTGAAAAGAAATGTTGTGCACGGCAAGATTGGAGATTGGCAGCGCACCACTTAAGAGGCAAGGAGAGGTAGGATGGGATGGGGCCCCGTACACCCATGGCCGTAACATTGCATAGCCATTCACGATTGTACTCTGCCTCCAAGAACGAAGTTCCCAATATCGTTAGCGTTACCACGCGCTGCGAAGAAGGTTCCGTGACATGGACTAATATAAGTTTGCGGGGGATCGGTAACTGAATGGCATCCACGGAGCCCCTCGAGATGGCTGCGGGTCCATCAGCAGGGACGGCGGCGGCGGCGGCGGCGGTGGCTGTCGCTAGAAGTTGTTGCATTTCTTCTTCGCTCCAAAAGTCGGTGGAAGAGAGTATGCGTTCTGCGCGTGAGACGATTCGCTTTGGCACATAGGACATGACATGGAGAGGAGGGGAGGGGGGTTGCTCTGCGGGTCTTCGGAGGCGGTTAGGTGGTAAGGGGTCTGTAGCTGGTTGCTCCGCCCCACTCCGTTCTTGAGTTGATTTCCTACAGTAGTATACGTTGTGGCTACGCTACGAGAGGGTTCTTGTTTTGCTGCACTTGGACGGAACATACAGTACTGAAGGGAGCACTTTGAAATGGTTTTGTTCAACCTGGGAGAGCACACAAGGGTGGGCGCTCAAACGTGCTGTCTAGGGTGCATGTTCAATCTCTGGTACGGGGGGGGGGGGGTTACAATCTACCGTATCCCCGTGACCACTGCATTGTTTTTGTTCCCCCCCCGTGCCCCCCCCCCCCTCCGGTGTTTACCATCGGGGTTGGGTTTTCGTCGCTTGGCAACGACGTTGTAAAACAAGCCGCCCCCCCCGGTGTTTGCCATCGGGGTTGGGTTTTCGTCGCTTGGCAACGACGTTGTAAAACAAGCCAATTCACTTCGTGAACTCGGCAACCAGGTTACCGTTTTTTTTTTTTACCTCCGTTTTTTTTTTTGGCGGTAACCATAATGGTGGTCGAGTAGATCATGTTGTGCGGGGTGGAGAACCCTCACTCCGCGCAAGGGGGATGATCGCACCACGTTGTGTTAAAATGGTCAAGCACCCTCGAGGCAGTTACACAGTGCTTACAACTGTCTCTGGAAGTGAAAGCACCAGAAAATAAATTAAGTCATACGCAGCTGTCATCCGTACGCAAGGAAGTAAGCACAAGATGCCGAAAACCCTTAGCAGGATGCAGCGCACCCTTCATGCGACTCGCCGAATATCTCACGGCGCTTCGCGCTTGGTGATGTGAGAGCCTGGTCCGGTGAGAACCCGGCGTGCTCCGTCCCGGCTTTGTAGGGATGCGAGGTCAATGGTCTAACGACTACGGCATGCACGACTATGAGTACACCCCCGTGCCTCTCAGTCGTTGTGGTGTGGAAGAAACACCTTGTACGCAGGCTTGATGCCCGCCGCCCCCAAGGCATGCGGACCTGCTAAACCAGTATGGTCAAGAGATACGGTTCCCACCAAGAATACCCACAAGGACATATGGTTGGGTCTTCAAGGACATATGGTTGGGTCTTAGTCCGAGATTTTATCCATGTGCCAGGTGGTCGGCAACGGGCAAGCTTGAGCTTGCCAAGTTGGACAAAACCACTTGGGGCCCCGGAGGAGGGTCGTTACACACCACCCTCCCTGCCCCTCTTGAAACGATCGGCCGTGTCGATGTATTGATGCCGTGTTCTTCCTGCAGTGCTGCAGTGCAGTGCAGGGTTGCACGTTGTTCTCCTTGTTCATGCTATTGTCTTACTTTCTATAACAGTACTTTTCAAAGTTCGTACCGGTCCACACTTCACTATTGCCGGTCCCCCCGGTGGTCTGGTGGTATCCTCGTAATCCGATTGTCGCAGAGGTCGTGAGTGCGAATCCCCATGGGGTGAAAAATTTACGAAAATTGCGGATGAAAGCGAAATATAGCTAAAAAGCTCTCGTGAGTACCAAACTTCGACGTTAGCACCGTTGACGAGGGAAAGGAACGGCTGGACCCTTCTCGCGATAAAAATAACATTCACCACGCACCGCAGGAGAAAGGTGGGGCATGAAAAGAAATAAACAGAATAAAGCGCTGGTATTTACCCCCTCCTGTGTGGCCCTGGATGGTTGTAGTTGTACGAAAAAATACACTGGAAAGTGTAGTACTCTACATACGCTGAAAAGTGTAGTAGTACACGTCTCACCACGAAAAAAGGGGGGACTGTCGCCATAATCAATAGGACGAAAACACACAAACACACGCGGAAGTCTTCCGTGTCATCGCAAAGCAGGCTAGCTGCCCGAAAAGGGAACACGCTTCTTCAAAAAGACGTTTCATGGCGCGTCCAGAGATGGCCGAAAATTAGCCGTAACAACTGACGGCCAAAATCACTGCACGGCGAACACACGGTCCTGTGCCAACAAACCACCGTCTGCTGATGGGCACTCTCAGATTCCATCCAACGGGCACCCTGCTCCTTTCATTCGCTTGGGGATGGAATGCAGAGTAAAGCTCTGAATCCCGATACCAAATTGCAAGCAAATCTCTCGACACACTCCATCCCTTCTCACTCCGACAACTGCTGTTCGGCTTCTACGTGATCTGTGACTACAAGTATTCCGCTGCAGCAGCCGGCAAATAGGTACCTTTCGTCAGCGTTGACGGTATACAAACAGCCCACGTACAATTTGCTTGCGGCAAGCATACATTTCGATGGCCGCAAGAGCTATACACAGAGGTAGAGGTTGACGCACACAGCAGTGCACCATGGTTACATATTCCACAGTCAAGTCTCGGGGAAAAAATATTGGCAAGCACAGGCAAGAGTGGCTGACGACTTGATTCTTCATTCTTGATTCTTGATTCTGCATCCTAAGAGAGACGTCATGTTGCCGCGGCCGCCTCGCCACCTCCTTCCGCTGCCGCCCCCCCCGCTCCTTCTCCGCCCGCCGCCGCCCCCCCCATGCCCCAGTTTATGTAGTTCGGGCTCTCGCAAGCCTTATACTCTTCGATCAGGCTTGCCACCACCTCCCTGATTGCGGCAAAAACGTTGGAATGGAGGGGGGGGAATCGAACAAAACGTGTTTTCAGCGTCTTGGATTACTCCGGATTATTATTGTTTGGTCGTGTGTGTTGTTCAGTGCCTGGAGCGGCATTCTCTCCGTCTGGTGCTTCGCTCTATTGAGCCCATCAGTAGACCAGCTTCAGAATGTTCATCTCTGCGATTCTCTCTGTACCTCACCGTCTCCGCTGCCAGCATCGTGTGACCGGAGGATACGTCGTCCCACCTATTGTGCATTGTTACAACCTTTCCTTGGGTAGGGCGCCTCCCCATCTCCCCATCGCAAGAAAATCATGGTGCTCTGGGCTTAAGATTGTTGAAACGAGTTGCCGCAGAGGCAGAGGAAATGCTACAGATGACCGTGGATGTGCCGGTAGTGGCGAGGTTTAGCAAGGTGGTAAAGTTTAGCAATGAGTGATAGCCTCGTGAGGGGATACCATAATACTCGGGAGTGCGAGTGCAGGCCAGTCGAATACATGGGTGCTTCAGACTCGCCATGATTGTCGGCAAGCATACGCTCTTTTTCGAAATGCACCACGTCACCAAGCGTAGAGCTAAGGCGCCACAGACAACAATACGAGAGCAACATCGTAAACACAAAACCACAGCAACGGCAACGAGGACAACAGCCGCAACAACAGCAACAACAAAAAACACCAGCAATAACCACAACAGCAGCAGCAATTCACCTGGAGTCTTCAAATTCGTCAAGGTTGTCGGCAAACATGGGCTCCTTCCTGTAGTTGTCGACGAAAGCGTTTCTCTTTCGGATGCGGTCGAACTGCTGGAGGCTCCTCGTGAACAGCTGCGGGAGCAGAGTATTTGAGTACCCCAGGGAAGGACGCATTTGAAGCTGGTCAGCTAAGTGAGGTCACATACATTACTCTTCGAATGGAGCTGACGTTACGGGTTTGTTTTTGGGACTTACGTGTGACATACAGAGGTAGATCGATTCTGTCCTTGCCGGGGTATTTTTCGCATCAAGATGCAGAGCTGAAGGTAAAGGCAAGTTTAGTAGAAGTGCAGATGACAAAGGATATCGTGTGGGATGGTAAGGATTACTTGAATCCAAAGACAGCAGCCTGGATGACCCCATCCGCCACATGACAGTAGCTTCTTATTGCGGAGTAAGCGGGGGCTCCAACACAAGAGGGTCGAGGGTCTTTGTCACACCACTCTCTATATCGGACCCGCGACTGTACTGATAAATTGTTGATGGTCGCTAACGTTTGTATCAACAGCTGAGCGATCGAACACTATTCCTGTCATCGTATCGCAAGTTTGTTTGTGTGGCGTGTTGGCTTCCACGAACTCCGCGACAAGCAATCTCTTATTTCATTGGAACCCCCGCTTACAAGGTACCGTGTGTCATCAGAAAGCCCAAAAGCATCAAAAACAGCATTTAGAAGTAAAACAACACCAACGGCGAGCAACGCGAGTTCCTTTTTACCTGGCTCATACAGGTATGGTTCGCCAGCATCAGCCCGCTAACCTTGTGCGCTGTCTCCACGTACGGTGACTTCCTCGACAAAGCCACCTGTCACAATCAGGTGCCGCAAAAGTGCAAACATCATTCGTGGATGCCGAGAGAGCACGCCGTGCCAACTAATTCTTTCCACCAGAACGTGTGTGAACGAACGAATGCATCACTCGGCAAAAAGCACTTGAGTAAGAGCATGCAAAGGGCACCGTGTATCTCCTGTTGTGTTTCGCTGAGGTGCGCCACCATGACAACCGCTTCCTAAGAACACCTGTCGACAGGGATGAGGGATGGGCACTCCCGCTACACGAAGAGGATCGACTGTGACTGGCCTGCTCCACCAACGCAAAACGAGTGTCGCTTCACTGCGGCGGCAGTGATGCAGAGCACCCAATCAAAGTTGTACAACAGCTTCTCCCCCGACAAGTAGGCGCCACATGTCGGTCTGGTAAACAAAAAACACAAAAGCAAACTATACAAGGGGGGGGTCCTTTCCTGAATACTTGCTGGCCCCCATGGGATGAAGCTAACCAGTTTTCGCTCCCGTATCCTCTGCAGAGCCTTGTGAACCTGGACATGTACAAAAGGAAGTCCAACCCGGGGCATGGGTGGGGATTGTGTACGGCAGCAGTCGAAGACAGCGGCGGCGCCTTCTCGTGCCCGTTGTTGAATTGGTAACGTTATTTCTTGAGCTATTTTAGCTGTTGGTTACCACGGCTCCACACACCGAAAACGTTATGCATGGGATAGGATAGGAATCTATGGCGTTGGAATGTCACAGAATCTTGTCCTAATGGCATATGCGGGAAGAAGGAGGATCACGCTGTTGACGTTGTGACATTGTGACATTGTGACATTGTGCAGCGAGGCCTGATGCTGCCGCGCAGGAATGCACCACTCTCGTCAGGTACTATGTTCATGTTCATGGTGGTGCTACTCATATCACAATCACACAGCACGCGACAGACATTCTTGCCAAGTACCCTGTGCTTCCACGGGTGTTTCGAAGATGAGACACGAGACACGAGACATGAGCCATGAGACATGAGACATCAAATATATTGGACGAAACCGCTGCGAAACACAATGCCCCAGAGAGCAAACGAAGGGCGCGCACCACAAGCCGAAAACCAGGCATGCGTCAAAGATGAAAGCGCCCACTATTGTAGGATACACGTGGAAGACCCAGAGTGAAGTGACTCGACCTCCCAACGACTACAGTACAGTGATCGACTTCATAATTCGCGCGGGACGGGATTGCTGTACCCGTGTAGCGATAAAAATATCTCAGGCAGGAACCGCAGGAGGGGGTCCAACCCCCCCCTCCTATGTGACCCCGGTTGGGTCGTCTAGCTGGTAAAAGTGGAGGATAGGGGCCAGAGGCGCAGGCGACAGAGTCCAATGATGGGGGG